TTTTTTGCGGTGAGCCTCTCGCATTTTCTCTCATTCTCTTCGTCCAAAACATCTAAAAACCGTCCAAAACACTGAAAATAGCTTTAAAATATCGTTCTCTCCTCAAATCTTTCATTTGTGAAGAAAAAAGTCCAAAAACGCGGAGTTTTTATCTCCCCCTCGCCGCCCACTTTTCCGGCCATACTCACCATTTTTCGGCCGCCAGCGCTCTGTTGGGAATAGTGTCCTGGAAGCATGAGATGTAATAGGATATTTATTATTTAATTAATAAAAGAGTTTATTCATCATTTTATGTGCATATATTTATGAATATTTATGAATATCAAATGAAAATTCCGTGATTATTTATGTAACCTTAAACATGGTATATAAGTGTTGTATACGAGAGGATAATGTTTAAGGTAATAATCAAAAAGTGATGTTCGTAATAAATCTAATTAAAGTTCAGAATCTTTAATTAGAACATTACTAATACATGGCATTCCCATTTAGAATGTAACGGTGTTATATGCACTATTAATATAGTGTAATATTGAATGAGTGTATTACGCATAATAAGATTATGTGGAACATGGACACAGACACAATATGAATTTCTAATAATTTCCGTTAAGCATAGAAATTCTAATTGAGTCTACCGATGGTCATATATAGAATGATCTTAATCCTAAGTTCTTAACAAACTCCTATTTATGGATTTGTGTCTTTTGATTTACTCGGTACGGATTCTAAGACCCTGAATCCTATTCCTTGTATTTTAGAGACATGATGAAGTAGGTAGCCAGGAATGTTATTATACGAGATGAAATCCGTTCCTTCTTGAGAAAGAAGTAGATAAATAATTCTCTTGAGTGTTGATTCAGTACTTGGATTAGTAAGAGCGCTCTGGTTCATGAATGTGTTTTATGAATCACTGTCCATTAGAGAATCAATGGTACTCAAGGATGAAGATATAATTAGAGGTTAACGGATTCTACCTGACTCTAATTATGAATTATTTATGGAGGATTGATCTATATGCAATGACTATATCAAATGGACATTTTACAGTTTAGAAGTAATTAATGTCTATAATTTTGAGAGTTCAATTCCAAGTTTATAGTGGAGCAACTATTGGAATTAATAAAATTAATTAATTGATTAAAGTATTTAATTAATTATTAATTTTATTAGAGATCGGGATTATAGGTCAATTAGTCCTCGCGTCGTCCTTGTAATTCTACCAGACATAAAGGACAAAATGGGAATTTTAAGATTACGAAATTCTAAAATTAAATACTCGAAAATTAATTAATCGAAAATTAATTATTATTTAAATAATGTGATTATTTAAATTTGAATTTGAATCATGAACATAATTTAAATTTATCCATTTAAATTTATTTGATAAGTTGTTCAATTTAGAATTTAAATTAAAAGTAAGTATTACTCTCCATGGATCCTAAACCTTAAAGTACTTAACACTAAGACAACTAATATTGATAATATATACATATGTATATGCATATATGTTTCAGTACTTACAATGGAAAAATTCATCTATCAACGACTTGATTGACGAAGCCATACTTAAGGCCGAGGAGGACGGGGTCAGAGTATTGAGTCTCGGTCTCTTGAATCAGGCAAGTACATACATACATACATACATATATATAGTTCCATAATTTTTTTTCCCAATTTCAAGTTAATTCTATGCATTTAATTATAAAGTTAATGCCATAATATATGCAATATGCGTGAATGTCTATACAAAACGTTTATATGTGTCCTATCATGTCAAATTGCATATTGGAGTAGTTAATGCCATAATATATGTAATATGCGTGAATGTCTATACAAAACGTATATATGTGTCCTATCATGTCAAATTGCATATTGGAGTACATCTATGTTTGTTATATATGTATATGTGTGTGTGAATATATACCCACCAAAAGTTAAGATAATGATCACCACTGAGAACTAATAATGAAATGGTGTAGGATGAAATATAAATTACTTGATGTGAGTTATTTTTTGCTCTATGTATGAAGAAAGCTATATCGTGTTATTTGATTTTTCTATTCAAAAAGAAGAAAAATGTTCAACAATATTGTTCTTTAATTCTTTCTTTGATCTCAATGCGAAATGTTTTTTATCAATTTTTCAGAGTATGGAATTAAATGCATATGGCGAGCTTTATATTAACAAACATCCTCAGTTAAACATGAAGATTGTAGATGGTAGTAGCCTTGCGACGGCTGTAGTACTGAACAATATTCCAAAAGGGACAACTCAAGTTCTCTTTAGAGGAAAACTTAATAAAGTTGCTTACGCAATTGCTTTTGCTTTGTGCCAAAAGGGTATCCAGGTAATATAAATACAAGTGTAGACCAAATATATATATATATATATATTATGGACTAAACGTAATTTTGGCAAATAATTATATCACGTATATCTTTTACTTCTCTATTCAACTGATTCCATATCTCACATAAAAATAAAAACATATATCACTTTTATTAAAACTTCATTAATCGAAGCTTTTAAATTTTTAAAATTAAAAGTATTACATTTTTCCTCTCTTTAATTTATAATAACGCTGCAGAAAAAGGGTTTTCGCAATAAAATTAAGTCGCAGAATATTTTCTTATTTCTTATATTTATAGTTCCATAACTGCAACAAAACCAACTTTTATAGTTCAATCAAATGCGTCATACGAAGAAATCATTTATGGGAAAAAATAATAATTTGGCTATGAAAAGAGAGCAACATTTTTTTTTTATTAATGGCAGTATATGTGCACCTGAAAATAACTTAAAATTATCTGTACACTTGGATGTTGGTGCAAACTTAAAACATTTTTTAAGGTACACAAGCATTTTAATATATATCTTGAGTATTATTTTATATATTGTATCAACTAATTGACGTGGGCTGAATTTAATTATTTATTCAGATAGCTACATTGCATCCCGACGAGCACGAGGAACTTAATAAACACTTAACTGATGCCAAATTTGCTTGTAATTCAGTTTTCTCAAGATGTTGTTCTCATAAGGTAAAATAATGTTAATTGCTTCATATTATTACTTCTTTTTATGCACACACATTCTAATTATGATTTGAGAACAATTCATAAGAATAATGGTATTAATTAACTTATAAAGTTTTTTACAAATTGACGTCTGGTAGACTATATATCATGTTTAGCAATGTTTCTGTTTTTAGAAATTTTTACTTTTTTAATTTTATTTTTAAAGAGTTAGACACCTTAATTCTATACTATTTAGAGCAAAAAATTTATAAAAGAAAAGGGAAAAAAATTAGAGTGCACAAAAAAATTTATAGTGATTTACCCTTATATGAGAGATGTGTCCACTCTCAGTCGTCGTAGACATTCACTACGATGAAAAAGAATATTACAAGAGAAAATCATACATATTATTGCTGCTTGGATCTAACATGTGTATATGCCTCTTTCAGATCATATTGATTTTAGTCTATATTATCATTAATGTAGGACTTGTTGGAAAATTCAGTAAAGACTACTAGAAGGAGAAATTTTGACATATTACTTTAATATACGCCCTAATTTAGTAAGCAAAAGAGTGAAAGAGAGACGTGTAAAATACATAACATTTATTTCCACTCAAATAAAAAAGATTTTTGTAATAAACAGAATTGATAATATTATTGCAAACACTTTATTCACAGGTTTGGCTAGTGGGAGATGGAGTGGCTGATGAAGAGCAGTTAAAAGCTTCGAAAGGAACTATATTCATTCCCTTTTCTCCATTCCCACCTAAAAAATTACGCGAAGACTGCTTCTATCACTATACACCCTCGATGCTAACTCCTAAATCTCTTGAGAATCTCCACTCTTGTGAGGTATGTATAATGGTTATTCTTCAGAATATTTTTATGATTTCGAAATTTAATACCTTTGAAGTATATAATATTGATATCCAAATATGTATATGTATATGCATATGTAATATGGCAGAATTGGTTGCCAAGAAGGGCGATGAGTGCATGGCGTATAGCAGGAATGGTGCATGATATTTAAGTCGTAATAAACAAATTTCTATTTTTGGGAATTTCAAAATGATGTCGTAATGGTTATTTGGCTACCTGCGTGTGTCCTGATGATTCTTATGATCTTGTTCTTATCGAGTAATTTAGAAAATCAATACCAAATAAATGTATGATTGCATTTATTCTTATCTAAATAAGTATTTTATGATTGCATTTATCCAATAAGATTTTGATAAAAAAAAATCATATTAGAATTCTAAATTAAAATTATCCACTACTTAAATAATATAATTAAATAATTCAATCCAAATTGAACTAGTAATTATCTCATGTGATTTTTAGAATTGATGACTATTCCACATCTTGAATAATTAATAATTGGCTTTCACGATAAGTATTAGTGACTTAGTCAGTATGGATGTTAATCACAAGTCTATAAATTTAGGCGTCCATAACTAATGGCCATGACTCATATCATGAGCAGACCTCACACTTCCTTTTTTAGCCAAGCATTGGGTTTTATTTATTTATTTATTTATTTATTTTAAGTGGAGATCGGGTTCCTATTTTGGCAGAGCTCAGCCTCGATTTTTGGAACATAAAATATTCAGTGAGATAGAAAGATCCGGCCTCCACCAGCTTACGACAGCCCACAAAACTTTTTCCAAATTAGAGAGTCTGAGTTTTGAATTTCAACATCCCAAAAGGAAGCGGAGGGACAGTACTTCTCCATTAACACTCTGACCCCCAAGCTTCTCTTATTGGATGTTATCCCCACACTAGCTTTGTCTAAAATTGGCAATCCGCGTAGCGACACGATGACACAACTCGAAATTTGATTTGGATGTAGACCCATGAAACACGATTAAATAGCGTGCCCTTTTCAGGTTGACTTGTGAACTTACAATTGACCCGTCATAACTCGTTTATTAAACGTGTCATATTTGAGTAATATGAATACGCAACACAATTACAAATCGTTTGTTACCTATGTTCAGAAACAAGTTGAAAAATAAATTGAGAAATAGGTTGGCAAGATCTTATTATCACTTATTTTATAATCGAGTTATTAAAAACAGGATGACATGACACTATTATGACATGTTTAATAAACGAGTTAGTCGTGTTATGTCGTGTCAACCCACCAATATACAGGTCGTGTTTGGATTTTGTATTTCAACACGAATAATAAACGGGTCGTATTTGTATCAGGTCTTACCGTATCAATTAAGGAGGTCAACACAACACGAACACGGCATGATAACACGAATTGTCACCTCTAATTTTGCCAACAGCGCTAGATTAAAATCCTCAAAACGGCGAAAACCAAAACGTCCCCAGTCCTTTGGTTGGCACAACAAATTCCAATCGACAAGCGCTAGGTATCTCGTTTTCTGAGAATTCCCAGTCCACCAGAATCTTCTAACCGCCTTGTTCATATCTTCACAAATCTGCTGTGGAATGCGAAAAGTGGACATGGCATATATCGGTTGGTTTTGGACAACCGATTTGATTAGAGTTGTCCTTCCCGCCCAAGAGAGAGTCTTAATTAGCCTTCCAACCGCTATAAATTAGACGATGTATCTGGACGAGCGGGAAAGAAGCCTTGTTGAGATCACTTTTTTCTTCTTTGACTAACGTGGCCATGAAAATGAGGTGATCTGAAACATCACTTTTGTCTTCTTTGTCTAACGTGGCCATGAAAATGAGGTGATCTGAAACTTAAGCAAAGTAGTTGGATAGCAATTGCTGCTGTACTATGATTTATGGGCAACTTGAATTCGTACACCAGTTGGCCTATCAATTTTGATAACTTATCGTATTGGGGGAGTCATTTAAACCGTTGAATAATAAACCTAGTATATGATTTATTGTAACCTTAAGTAGATAAGGATGTAACACAAGAAAAAAAGGTAGTAAAAATAGACTCAATTATTGTAGAAGTCAGCATATAGCATTTATGAGACTTTTACGACACACAACAACCTAAAGGACCACCAAACACCTATACAAAAGTACTTGTTCTTTCTTTAAGACAGCATGATATTCGACCAAATATTATGCACCTTTCTTCAACTATAAAATTTATTATGATTAGCAAAAAAACTATAAAATTTATTAGGAGAATTCTGCTACCCAAAAAAAAAAAAAATCAAGTACATGTCAAAGATGCACCGCCCTTTGCTAGTAGTTTTCATTATGATACACTTTGCTAGTAATCATAACATGCAGTTATATTAATTAAATGCACATGCAAACTAACACAAATTAGCTGTTTGACTCCGGATGCCCAACAGCGACATCTTACAAACGAGCAGACTTTGAGTGTAGTGAGTTTGGTATTAATGTGTTTTAAGAGAATCACTAATTTTACTTCAAGTAAAAGTTAGAATCAGAATCAGAATTTAAAAGTGTATTAGTCTTTGTGCAGAATGTTTTTCAACCTTTTAACGAAACATTATGGTTATATTGGTTTTTGTGTAAAGTGCTTTTAAGAGTTGTAAAAGTAATCCCAAATACACATTATGTTATTAATACATAATTCATCTAGACACATATAATAAAACGTACTCTTAAGTTTTAACTATGTGAGCAAAAAAAAAATTTCTTAATAAACATGGTTGATTATATAAGCTCTAGTTTGCGCATAATGATCTTGAACTCTACCCATAATAGAGTAGCTTACACTAATATGAGTTACCAAAAAATTATTACACCTAAAAGAGCCTATTAGAAACTAGCAATACAAGATGTGGAACGCTATCCTTTCTAATCTGTTATATGAGGTTAATAACCGAAATGGAATTCTTTGCACAGTGAATGTTATAAGAGTGTGATTTCCTTATCCAATATTATTTTTGGACTAGAGTTTTCTTAGGTTGAAGATTAAATATACTCGAAATCAAGTTTGGCAAAAAAAAAAAAAAAAAAATTAAAGAAAAGAAACATTCTTATTTTAGAATTTCAGTTTTTTGGTATAGAATTTTAGTATTGATTAGTACCCCACTTAAATAAATTTCTGACTCCGTATTCACTGATTAGTGCGTGCAATGATTGAAAGTCTTTACGTTGTAAAGATGACAATCAAAATTTTAAAAGTAAACACCTTATTAAATTTGAAAGGCCTTTGTTGAACACAACACTATTAGACACACAAATATTATTATTCTTCTTATTATTAAGACCACTCAAAGAGAAGATTTACACACTCAAATATTACAACTCTCAAGGACACTACACTCACACTTACAACTCGCCGAACCACTCAAGGCTATTAGCGTTATAATTCTTCTTCACTTCTTGAATGCAAACTATGCTACGAAGCGGTATATATAGTAGAGCAAATATAATAATAGCCACAAAAATAGGGTGGACATGTGAAAAAGCTGATTATAACTTCTAACGCGTAGATAGATTCATTTTATATGGGGGGAGAGCGCATGCATGCATATATAATGATTCGCTTAGAATGCAGAGATATGATTATACACGCACACACGTTGTGAAAATAGATAGATAAACGCATAAATATAAACATATACACACACACATATTTAAGCAAAACTTACGATCGTGCTGAATTATTACTGATGAGCTTTTATTCAGTAATTTGGAATAGCAAAAACAATTGCAATTTTGGGGAAAAAAAAAAACATAATTAAAAAAATGAAAACCATTTATTGTGGTCCAGCAAAAGCAGTTGAGAAGAATGAATAAATTTCTGATTAAAAGGTTCTGTGAGGTATTTAATGAATCAGTGGCTGAGAAACAAGGTCCTAGCTTCCAATTGCTTTTGGGTTGGCATTGTCTCTGCAACAAAAAGGATTATTAGCGATGACGTTTATGGTTGTTAAAATTACAGTATTAGTGACGACATGTCGTTGCTAAAAAGAAAAAAAAATTTTTGAATGACTTGTCGTCGCACTAAGTATTTGTGATGACATGTCGTTGCACAAAATTTTACTATTTGTGACGACATGTAGTCGCTATAATTTCACAAGTTATTAGCGATGACATGTCGTCGCTAATATTCGTTGGCGCCAAAACTAATCTGGCGCCAACAATTTTGGCGCCAGTTTGTCCATTTTTTTCGACGACATGTCGTCACAAATATTGATACTTACAGCTGGCGGTGACGTGGCCAAAACGAGGCGAAAAATTTGGCAGTTTCCCGCAAATAGGTTCCATATATTTCTTTATTTTTTGCGACGACAGATTGAAAAGTCGTCAGAAAAAATGGTTCCAGAAATTTCTTTTTAGAATGACTGTTTTTGCGACGACACGTATCGTCACAAAAAAAGGTTCTAAAAAATTATATCAAGGACAACTGTTTTTTGCGACGACTTTTTTTAATAGTGTCATCGCAAATAACTGGGGATTTAATTTTTTCAAAGAAAAAAGGGCGAAAACTTTAGCGGTTTGCTTAAAATTATTTGCGACGACATTGTTAAATTGTCGTTGCAAAAAATGAGCCCGGGTATATTTCTCAAGAATATTCTCAGAAATATTATTGACATAATGTTGTTGTAAAAAACCACCTGTATAAACCCGATCGCAAACCTCCTTTCGCCATTTTTTGCGGTGAGCCTCTCGCATTTTCTCTCATTCTCTTCGTCCAAAACATCTAAAAACCGTCCAAAACACTGAAAATAGCTTTAAAATATCGTTCTCTCCTCAAATCTTTCATTTGTGAAGAAAAAAGTCCAAAAACGCGGAGTTTTTATCTCCCCCTCGCCGCCCACTTTTCCGGCCATACTCACCATTTTTCGGCCGCCAGCGCTCTGTTGGGAATAGTGTCCTGGAAGCATGAGATGTAATAGGATATTTATTATTTAATTAATAAAAGAGTTTATTCATCATTTTATGTGCATATATTTATGAATATTT